AGGAGCGGGAGGAGCGGGGCCGGGCGCGCGCCGAGGGCGTCCTGGCTGGGCTGCGCTCGGAGCTGGTGAGCGCTCCCGGGGAGGCCGCTCCGGGGCCGCCGTCTCCTCGGTCCCCTCCGCGGGCTCTGGAGCCGCGGCCCGCGTAGCCCACCCCAGGGCTTGGGGAGGCCGACGGGAGCTGTTCCCGGGGCCACCAGCTCACGTCTGCACGCGGTGTGGACGCTCCCACCAGCCCAGCATCATCTGGGTCCCCGCAGGGACCCGTGGGGGCCTAGTCTACCAGTGGCACATCTAAGATGTCCCCTCCACACCCGTGTCTATGGTTTTTTATATGTATGCAGAAGGCGTGTGCGTGGAACGTGGAGGAGGAAATTTCAATGTGATCAAGTCTCCCATGAAATTGATGGAGCAGGGTCACCAGCATCTTTCTCTTTACATCTGGCAAGTTTTAGTCTTATCTTTCCCCTTGGTTAGAATTCAGAAAACTGCAAATACTGGAATAAGGTATTTTGTAAAATTGTAGCATTTGAACATTAGGCAGGTTAGGTCTGAATGTTAAAAGGGGAACTGGCGGTAAATAATTTAGATGACTTTTTTAATTAAGAAAAATTTCCAAATTAGACACAATTTGAAAAAGACAAAATGAAGAGAAACAATTCAAACTTTAAGGTGCCACCTATTAATGTGGGCAGTGGAGACTTGACTTGGAAAACTCTCCTCTTTTGCACTGAATACTAAATAAAATAACTGCTTTAGAACTGAATTAACCATCAGTAGATTGTCTGATTTAAGAACCTTAATAGAATATCTCGTTTCTGAGTTTAACAAGAGCAACATGGTATAAATCTAATTTTATGTGTGTTAATCTGAATCTGATAAGGGATGCATTATGTCTGATACAACTGTATCAAAGAAACACCTGGCTTTATACAGCTAGGTGGTGGAGCTACCTCATTAGACATCTGGAGGCCTGGAAGTCTGAGACCTGGCTCCACCCTCTCTCTGTGCTGCTGACCCAGGATATGTCACTATTGTACTGAATAGGCTCTGAAACACCTTTCAACTCTAACATTCTAATAAGTTGCTGCACCAGTAGGAGTTTTAGACAACTAATGTATTGGGAGTGGTGAGAAGGTAGGGAATAAAATTGCAAACAGATGAGAGCTCAGCCCCAGAATTACCATGTACAGGCGCTGCTAACTTGCTGGCCTTACAACTTTGGGAGTGTTAATTGGTTAGTTTGAGTTTGTTTACTCATTATCTGTCAAATGAAGATAATAATCTCATAGGATTGCAGTAAGGATTGTATGAGATAATATTATATGAAGTGCCTAGACCATAGGTACTATTTACTATCTCTTATTATGCTCATTATTACTATAGATTTTGGAGACTGTACCCAAAAAGGACACATATGCAGATGCTGTGTTCCTTGGTTACAGACCACTCTCAACATCTCGGCCAACGATCTCACCAATGTATGTGACTGGTCACGAGGAAGAGGCAAAAGAGTGTGGATGCTTTAGCTTAATATCATTACCACTAGAAGAAGTCATTTTTGATTATGGGCCATTAGCCAGATTTCTATAGAAATTAGCATATGTTCGGGCCGGCCCGGTGGCGCACTCGGTAGAGTGCGGCGCTTGGGAGTGTGGCGGCACTCCCGCCGAGGGTTCGGATCCCATATAGAGACCGGTCCGCTCACTGGTTGAGTGTGGTGTGGGCGCGACACTGAGGGTTGCGATCCCGTTACCGGTCACGAAAAAAAAAGACAAAAAGGAAAAAAAAAAAAAGAAATTAGCATACGTTCATACACATATTTGGCATTTGTGTAAGGAACAGTGATGAACAAGTTCAATTCAATTAGAGTCATTGTGACTTTTACTATGTTCTGTTGTTTTACTTGGTTTTCTTAGTGAGGCGTGTTTACTTCTAGGATCTGTGAGTGGATTTCATGGGTTCTATATACCTAAAATTGTACACAAGATTTTTTATGTGCATAAAGTGCATTCCTTCCTCAGAAAGTGTTCATAGCTTTCATCAGATTCTCAAAGGAATCCATGATGAAAGAAAAGTTAAGGAACCATTGCTGTTTGAATTTCCTAAATAAGTGTGAATTATACATTCTTCCTTTACTTAGGTGGTAAACTATTGTCAATAATTTAACTCCTTGATTCTTAGCATGAAAGTACAGGATAGATATTCATCAGTTCATTCATTCATTCATTCATTCATCCATTCACTCACTCAGTCTTTTAACAAACATACAGAGAACTCATGATGTGTGCTTAGGCATTGTACTCACAGTTGGTTATACAATTATGAGTAAGAAACACTCAAGATCATTAGTCTAGTCTAGTATAGTCTGTGTGTTAGGACCGGCACATGTACAGAATGCTGTGGAAGCACAGATAAGAAGCAATTATGTCTGCCTATTAAATCAGGGAAGGCTTCTCAGAAGAGCTGGCATTTGACTAGGCTCAGCAGGAAAAGAGATAGCAAAGGGCATCTTACACAGAGAGGGCAGAAGGAGATATGGCTTAGCGTGGCATTCAGGGACTGGCAAAATTTCTGACCAGCTGCACAAGGAGCTGACACAGGGAAGAGTGCCAGGAAATTAAACTGGAAAAGTAGGGCAAGGTTATAGAGCTTCCGGGCCACACTAGAAAACTGACGCTTCCTGTAAGCAAAGTACAGGGTCTCTCTGTGGTTGTGGTTGTGTGGTTACTGTTATTGTTTGTTTGCTAGATGTTCATTTACTTTATTCTTTGCTAATTCTTGCACTCAGAGAAATGGTTCCAGTGCTGAGGAATGAAGAAAAACGTCTCAGAGAAAACAGATAATTTTATCCAATGCTTTATTTTGCGAATTGGGAGGGCATCACCAATATTGCTTTTACAGACATGACACCCTGGTTCATCCTGGGGTGGTTTCTACTGATGAGTTGATGAAGGGTTTTAAGCAGAGAGAGCAAGTTCCTCATGAATTGCATTAAACAAGATTTTGATTGAAGAAATTTGCAAGTAGTTGATCATTAGTTTTCATCTATAATGCAAAGAATATGTTGGGCTAATCTTTGTTGGGCTGCCCCTAAGTAACCTGCCCTAGAAATCTATTATTATTTTTTCTAACACATGAGGACCTTCATAAACTCTCAGTGGAAGAAGGGATAAATCGGCCTTGCTATATAACAGATTTCACTCTAGAGTGAAACGCATTGGATTATATAAGTACACATAACTATACATGTTCCTCTAAGGTGTTGTTAAATGTTTTTGCTCGGCAGGGAGGCCATTTAAAATCCTAAAAACTTGAAATGACAAGTAATCAAATAAATGGGCCCAGATTCTGAACACTCAGGTGGCCATAGGCAGTTATCCTGTGGCTCAGAAAACTCATAAAGATAAATGATTTCATTGTGGATTACATGCCATTGCTGGAAAATAGCCTTCAGTGCATAGGTATTTTTCATATGGACAGCTTTGTGCATCAGCTATTTTTGTTTTCATTTCAAGGCCATTTCAAAAGCTATTTATATATCCA